ACAAACATTTTGGAGCAGTTTTGCTTTCCTCAAATGAATGCTTGCGTTAGAATGATTCAATTACGGAGGCACCTCATATCGATATAAATTCTCCCTAGATGCATTTTTGCCGAAAGCGTGGGACCTAGAATATAACATGAATATATGTCTGATTTATATTGACTGAAAAAAATACCTCATCACCTAAATATCATAATGATCTTTTTTTTTTTTTCTGGATGAAACTATCGAACGAGTTCGTAAAGCATTTTTTGCTCGCAATTTGAGCGCGGTGAAAGGAAACAAAACGCCTCCTCGTTTCATTAATTGTTTTCTGCTTTAAACCCTAAAAAATACTGTAATACAACTTGAAAACAAGTGCTAAAGCAATAAACATTTAATTGTATATTTTGTTTATGAAACCTAATCAATATACGCTTGTTATCGGTGTACACTGAAACTTAAATTCGAGGTATTTTGTCACTTATATGCAAAAAGAAAAGTTTATCTTTTCCATGACTACAAATGTATCATTTCCCAGCACATATATTGTAGTCTCCCGAATATTTCAACCTTCATCTGTACTTTTAATCTCTTTAGTATTGAAAAATGTGTAATTATATGTTTTTTCGCTCGAGGATACTCTTTATATAAAGGGCTTCGAGGCCCCTCAAGCCTGATATATAGGAGATTTTTCGAAAAGAAAACGCTGTTCTTTTTTTCAAAACCTCCGAAAAAAAAGTCACCTTTGGCACATGCCCTTTATGTCCTCCAACCAAAACAAAATAAAAACAACAACAACAACAACAGATGTTGCACCCATTAAGCCAGATGTCGCAACACTTTTAAAGTAAAGGTGAATTTAACGCCACCACTTAAAAAGAAACCCAAAAATGAGATATCTTGACATGCCTTGTGTCGTGCCACTTCTTTTGTGCACGCTAGATATGTCATTAAAGGAGCAAAATACTAATTAAATGTATTATTTATATTTTATCTACATTCAAAACATTCAAGTGAGTTAGCGAAACTACTTTATCAATAAAATGCAAAAGTTAGATCAGTTTTCAGAGTTTTTAATTTGCGGATGTTTTTCACTAGGGGAACGTAGGAAAACATGCTGCTTGTGGTAACTCGATGTTTCTAAATCAAAGTCAATTGACGAGCTTCCTCAAACGCCTGGCTGCTTGTTTGTGACGCGTTCGCTAGGTTGCGCTCGCTCTGCTATTAGTCCAGAGTCGTTTATATTGAGAGAGTTTGGTCAATGGGCGGAGCTTGTTGCCAGCTAGGACCAGCGGATTTCGCGATAACACAAAATGGCGTTACTTCTTTATCTTGTTTATTCTTGAGAAATCGCGTAGGGTTTCTATGAGCCAGAGCAACAAATGGCGGACTGAAGTAGTCATTACCCGTTGTCAGACTGCTCTGCTGTGGTTGCCAGGCTGTCAAAATCAATTTAAGAATGCCAAACTCTCTCAGTATAAACGACTCGGTATCATACCAGCTTATAAGAGCAGAAACCACGGTACCGGTGGAACGTTGGATACACTTGCTTGCAGTAGAAAGTGATTCTCTAATGGATTTTATGGTAAATATGAAGTTTGCGCGAATGCTCGCGCTAATAGAGCATATTTTGAAGAGCGTCCTGAGTTGCCTTTTGGAGCGGTGCCCCTGGTGGTGCAAACTGCGCGATCTGCCTGTATCTGCTCGTGTGCGGGAAACAGAAAATGGCTTTTTCGAGGGACGCTCTTCCGTGGAACTTGTCAATTGGTAGATAAAAAAGCTTTAGCCTCTGCCTCCTTAGCATTATGGCTTCTAAAGTATACTCTAAAGGTACGCGCTTCCGGCGTAAAGTATCAACCAACTACACAATAACCCTACCATGCCCACTATATGATTCCGCTAGCCACTGGCTGTTACTAGTGTATGAGGGCGACATTTGGAGGTTGCTGCGGTGTTTCTTGGTCACACGGTTTTTGTGGATATGCCCAGGCAGCGCATTTCTTTAAATCGGTATATGTTTTTTTTTTTTTGGGGGGGGGGGGGGGAATCTATTACTTTATAAAGCTAGGAGCCATTGAATAGTACCAAACTTGACCATCTTTGGTCAGAGTATGGGTATCTTCTCCCTGAATTTGCCAACAAGTGCCAGAGTTAGGCTTCAGTTCTTGTTGTTCGGTTTTTATGTGGCAACTTTGGGCCTAGATTTCTAAGGAGGTACCACGGTTTTAATTCACTTGTGGTTGTTTGGTCTTCAGGCGGCAACTTTGGCCCTAGATCGCGAAATAAGTTCCAGATTGAGTCGTCACTGCTGGCTCTGTGGTTCATGTGGTATTTTTGACTGCAAGTCTGGCTCTTTAGCAATTATGTGGTGATACAGATGAAAGCCATAGAAACGAAAAACAAAATTCTCTGGCAATAACCACCGCCTTCAACGAAATGCTATTTAGGCCCATGTTTGGCCCCTAGAATTGCCAAACTTGTGCGACGTTAGGTGTGTATTTGGCGTGCTACCTGAGCGCACCCTTAAAGTCAGATATGAGATTGCTCTCAGTCTCATATAATTGCGAAGGCACCGCAACATGAAATTTAGGTGATTAAGTTTGCGTAGAATAACCCACTACTTTAGCGGTAACTAAGAAAATAAAGCCAAGATTGAGTTTACATTTAAACTATCTTCGGAATTCCCTACCGAAAAATCCACCACGGCTTTTGTCAGTCAAAAATCTTGGTAGATTATGGAACTAGAAAATAAAGCAGGAATCAGTATACTGAAAACCGGATTGGATGATTGGATTTGGGAAACTAAGCTGGATAGGTGGAAGCTAGAAACTATTTTGGAAATGGCGCTGGATTGTCGGCTGCTGGAGAAGTGACTTAATCACTACAATCTAGAGACGTAAGTGAAAATTTCCGTAGCTAGTGTTTAAATAGTTTTAACCTAGGATTTCCCCGCAGCCAGTGTTTGAGGTAAAAACAAAAATATGCGCACAATCAATGGCCTCCTTATTTACAGACCTGATATAATGTAGATTTGGCAATCCAGCATCATTGAGGACTCTGGTAATACGCATGAATATGATTCGACGAGATTTCATTTTTTCATCACTCTAATTATACTGTTCAGTATTACACAAATATCTTTCCGTTTGTTGATTGCGGTGAACCCACTCAACAACAGAACTACAGCGAGAGAAGACAAGGCCACCGAAGACACACGGAACAATATTTGCCTTTGTCACGCAATAACGAAGAAATTCAACTGATGAAATATTTAATCGCACTTCAGAATTTATTTAGGGATTTTAATTTTTTTCGTGCGCTGAAGGTATTTCTGAAAGACGTAGAATGCACGCGCTGTTAAAGAAAGCATACCGAATGCAGAAAAAAGCTTACTGAATATTTTTCTTAGTGCGGTCCGTAATTTTTTTACACGGTCACCCATTCACATTCCACAGAAACATACACAGCAGTAATCATTTTTATTTTCGAACGCCCGCGGTGCAGGTGCGACGTACTACAGATAGTCGTTATCCCCATTGCTCCACGAATCCACTGCTCTTCCGCAGGCTTGGATGGTAACTACGTCAATGAAACATGGAATCCCTACAGTTCCCAGATTTTCCTTTCACTTCGATGAAGTCTTCGTTGTCACTGTCATGCAGTCCGCGGTTATTTATTTTATGTCGATCATTACATCAGTAAAAAAGATCGATCCATGCTTTAATGCAGGGGGCGCCTTCTGACATTACGATGCCGTTGAGTAGAGTGCGCAAGATTTCAGTGTTTTGCTTTTACAAAATAAACAGTATTTCCTCACAAAATATATCGATCCAAGATGTCTTACTCGTGACGAGTCAACGTTGAAGTATTTTTTTACCAAGCTTCTCCAAACCGATTGAGAAAAACTCACACGTCACGCAGGTTCTCTCACGATTGATTGTCGCAGCTCCTAAGCTGGCACGTTTTACCCTCTCCGGATTACATCCTCACCCTTTTTGGGCGTAGCTCATTACTTCAACCGCAGGAGCAAAGAGGTTTATTGACATTGCCCGGCAGCAGCGAATTTGCTCGATGGTTCACAACAGACTCTGCTAAACTAACCTGACACACGGACGGCGTTTAAGTGGCTGCGGCAGCTATAACCTCCTCCAGTTGATTGGAGTTACAAATAATGCCTCGAAAGTTTACTTTAGGTCAAAATTTTCCGTAAAGTTTACCCTTCTACAGGTTTACTTGTTCACGTCTGCGTTGAAAAACGTTGCATTTTTTATTTTTTTCTTATTTATTATTGAACCGATTACCCGCTTAAAATTAATTGCGATCAAAACATGAGTTGATGAATCGGTAGATTAATCGATCAAGTGCCTAGCAATATTTTTCAGTAATTTAATTTTAAATTATGTGCACCTCCTGGCGGAGTGTACATGTTGATTCCAGTATCTCAATGTGGAGACCAGATTTGGCATATCAAGATTAGGGTTCAGATACATTTTCATTGAAACTATTTTTCAGCATGGTCGACTTCCGTAAAAATTCACCCTACATTAACTGGATACGCACATCCAGTACATATACCCGGCTTGTAAAAGCTGTTTTCTGTACTTACAACATCACATTCAGTTTATTTGCACTGTATTTGGAGTTTACAGCATCATTCCTAGTCAAATCTTAGACTGTTTTGTTTTCGGCTTGGCAGTGGTCGACCGAAACCGTTTCAAGCGAAGATAAATAACACTTGAAACACGAAAAGATTTTAAAGCGCAAAATGTCATGTGCTGGATGCGCCATATGACGTCGAAGTCTGCATTGTATTCTGCATAGAACAATGGGTCCGTGGAAAGTCATGTCGGAAATACCACGGCGTTTAACACTCAGCCACCTGCGCGTAATAACAACATGCGTGATGGCAGATGAACAATGACGAAATTGTCATAGAAAATGTCACAAAAAAAAGCTTTAAAGCCGGGTAAAATATGCAAGCATAAGCGGTCACCCCACAGCGAATTAAGATAACATCGATGGGTGGCGTTTTGCTTGTTCTTGTTTTTTCGACTTTCAGTCATGTTCTTCATTGCAAGCAACGTGAGTACAACACGTAACTTACGGACGATTTAATTGTCTCGTTCTGAAATTTGCCCAAATGTTTTATGCTGGAGGTAGCTTCGTACACGATTAATGATTGCTTACATACACATCGAAGTTCGCACGTGCCGCAAGGTGCTAATAAATATAAGGAAATTACTGCAGCAAAGGCCCTGAAAAATTGAAATGTCCTTATCACTAGTGACGTGCAAACAACATGTGGTTTTATTTAAGAAACCGGTTCAGTTTCTTAAACATATTTATGTATTACGGAGTGAACGTTGATAGTATACGATTCCTATGCTTGTTTTTCCTGGACAAGCATGCTGTCCGTAATGTAGCTGTTCGGAATACACGATCCACTTTCAAATTGATCATTTTTGTGCGTTGTTTCGGTTCTAGTTAAGACGCAGCCGATGCTATAAGGTAATGGGACCAATCAGCAGCGTCCAAAGCGCATGTCAGGAGGTCTTTTATGTTTATGATTGGTACAGCCATGACAGAAAGAGTACAGGGTCATGACGAACACCATGACGGCGCGCTTTTGAAGCTGTCTGATTGGTCACATCAGCTCGTAGGGTCGGCTGAGTCTCGACTTAAGTCGAAACGGCATATAAGTTATTTTTAGTAACACCCGATGTTGAAAGGGTGGTTGGTGAGCATAAACTTAAAATATCAAATTTTCACTTTTTGGAACGTATTGGACGAAATTAAATCTATTTTCTCTCATATCTAGAATGTCATCAATAACTTCCAATAATGCAATATGTATGTAAAAAATATAAGCAGCGACCTTTACCTTCAAAGTCCTACGATGCATAAAATGGATTACAGGGAATCGGCGAGGAAATCGATGTGTTACGTGGTACTTTTTCCGCTAAATTTAGTGGGGAAGCTGAATGGTTGTATAGGTCACGTGACGTCAGGTCACTTGGCGATCGACGATTTCCGCCGCTAAATATGCCGGGGAAATTGAATTGATTATGGTGATAATACAATCAATGCAAAGGTGCAAGCGAGCTCGACAAGAATGACGAAAACAATCCCTGGAGAAGGGGAACAAGCTGGATAAAGGACAAACACAAATCTCCAAACACATCTATTTGACTGGTTGCACGACAGATCGCACGACAGATCGCATCGCCCCCCCCCCCCCCCCCCCCCCCCCCTTCCCGGTGAGAGGAGCAGGCATCAGCGCAAGGACGGCTTCCCGAGTCCCTCGCAAGATGGAGCCGCCGGACGGAGCCGTGCAGAGCCGTTTATCGAGAGAGTTTGGCCATACATTGGTTTGAATAGGCGAGCATCTCGGGGCCAACCACAGGCCGCGGAACAGCCCCTAGCAGTGGTCGTGAGCTCTAAATTTGTGACACGACTAATTCAAGCCGTTTTAGCGTCGCTAGAGTTAAAAGGTGTAACTCTCAGTGACTGAAAACTTTGTGCGTGCGAGGTTTTCGTCACGCCAATATTCAAGTGTAGAATAAACGAACGTGCGCTCCAAACCAGGGCCAACTTGCTAGAAACAGCGTCTCAGCTGAGACGGTGAAAGAAAGTACTGTCAAAGCCAGCGCACAAGCCGAGCGGGACACCGCGTCTCCAGGACGCTGTACGCTGTTCTAACAAGCCAACATCAGCAGTGCAGAGAAAGGCATGGGCACGAGCGCGTGGCTTTGGAAAGTGGCTCCTATGCACGAGTTCTCGTACACACAAAAGCGTTTTGCTGAGCTAGCTTCACGCGCCTGCACCTTTGTCTTCACTGCCGACATTTGTGAGATGGAGCAGAGAGGCCTAGATTGAACGCCTCTATTTCACGCTTTGAATGTTGTTTGCAATATTCTGACGTCGCGGTCTCCTGATTGGTCGACGCTGTGTCACAAATTTAGTTTACGCTCTAAGCGCGGGGGGGATATTCGGCGCTGGCGGCGGCCTTAGCTCCGCCTGTTGGCCAAACTCTCCCAATACACGGCTCTGGAGCCGTGGAGTGACATCCGGGCCCAGGGCCCCTCGGCGAGGATGACGTGTTGTGAAGAAGAATGCTTTATTTGTGTGTCATAGGGAGCGCACCACTCTGATTGCCGTTGAGATTGTAAAATGTGTAAATAAGCCCCTTGTCAGCTGCTGGAGGACCAGCAACGTTTATCAACGAACGAGCATCCTTCACAAGTTATTTGGTGCCGCAGACTCGGGACCCCAGCGGCTGCCTGAGGTAGCAAGTCGTAATCAAATATGAAGACCGCAATGCCCTCCGCTTCTTGTGGTACGCAAGTCCACCTGAGCGGGACTCGACGAGTGCGACGATCGAGGTTTGGCGCATTACACGTTTTCCATTCGGCGCGACGAGTAGCCCGTTCATGCTGGCAGCAACGATTAAGCACCACCTAGGAAGCGTCTCGGAGGACTTGAGTGACACAGTAAAAGTACTGAAAAAGTGCCTCTATGTATATGATCTGATTGCTGGCACCGACACAGAAGAACGGGCAGCAAGCCTATACAAAGAAGCCCGACAGATTTTGGATTCAGCCGGAATGAAGCTGAGAAAGTGGAGTACGAACACTTACTTGTTGCTGCAACGATTCAACTGGAATGGCCTTGGAAACCCGTTCCGCGAGACGTCAACAACAACCACAGCTGTGACTCGAGGCTTGGGGCTTGAGTGGGATAGAGAAAGTGACGAGCTCAAGAATTCCCTGGGAGCCGTGCTGGAGCTTTTCACCACCAACCGGAACACCAAGCGTTTCGTTCTACAGGCCTCAGCTAGAATTTTCGACCCCCTTGGTCTTCTGGGGCCCGCGACGATAACGGTGAAAATGCTGCTGCAAGACTTGTGGATCCTCGGACTGGACTGGGACACACCACTGCCGCCAGGTATCAGCGTGAGGTGGGACAAATGGATTGATTACGCTCTGCCCCATCTCAGAGATATCTCGATTCGTCGTTGTTATCTTTTGGTTGGAGTGGCGACGGAGTTGCATATTTTCACGGATGCGAGTCCACAAGTCTATGGAGCGGTGTCCTATGCGCCGAGTGATGATGGAGACAAAACAACCGTGACACTTATCATGGCCAAGACACGTGTCGCTCCCATCAAGACTCTTACACTTCCCCGACTAGAGTTGATGGGAACATTATTGAGCGCTCGAATGTGTTCCTACTTGAAACAGGCAATGAGCTTGAGCTTCTCGACAGTGACACTGTGGACTGTTTCTATGATAGCGCTTCACTGGGTGAGGGGTCCAGCAGCTCAGTGGAGACCCTTCGTAGCAAACCGCGTCATGGAAGTTCAAAAGAAGACGGAGCCCAGCGATTGGAGACACTGTCCAGTAATTGACGACCCGGCGGATCTGCTCACTCGGGGTGTCGCTTCAGATGCACTAAAGGGTTGTGACAAGTGGTGGAAAAGACCAACGTGGCTGTCACAGTTGCCCAGAACCTGGTTAGCTACTCCCAGCAGCATCCCGGGTCCGTCCAGTGATGAGAAAAGAAAGTCATCTGCACAGGTGGTGGGGCATGTCACCTCAGTCTCCCTTCAATCAGTGATGCCTATTGAGAGGTTCAGTGAGATGAACCGCCTGCTACGTGTCACAGCCTGTCTTCAGCGTTTCATAAGTAACTGCCAACGGAAAGCAGGAACTCAGAGGGGACCACTTAACGCAGAAGAAATACAGGAGGCTCGTCTCTTGTTGCTTCGTCAGGTGTAGCGAGAGGCCTTTGGCAAAGAACTTGACCACTTGGAGCATGGCAAATATTTAAGCGAGTCATCAGAATTGTGAAGTCTGAATTCGTGTCTGGACGATGAAGGGCTGCTGCGACTGAAAGGACGTTTGCAGTTCTCAGACCTCAGCTGTGAGGCTGCACATCAGGTTCTGTTGCCTGCGACCCAGTGGCGTAGGCAGAGGGGGGGTTTGGGGGGTCGAAACCCCCCCCCCCCCCCCCCCCCCCCCCCCCACCACCACCACCGCGCGCGGCAGGCTGTTTTGCACGGGGCATGGAGGAAGGGGCAGTGCGGACTATGTTCAACTTATATGTTTTCGGGAAGTGTTTGTGGGGTAGAAAATGCTGAAATAAATAAAATAGGCAATATATTTTTTATTCCAGTTTGTTTGATGGGATGCGGAACTTGCTCTCAGATATTTAGAGAAAACGGATATATGGAAACATTTGTGGGGTGAAGGATGGCAATTTCAAGGCCATGTATAACAAACTATCCTCACTAAAATACCCAGCTCAATAAAACCAAAGCGAACATTATAAAACGAACACATGGTTATAGTATAAAACAATGTCAGTGATGTGTTAAAGGATTTGTAAAAACAACTGCACTGTAAGCAACGGCTGGCGCTGCGCTCACGTAAACCTTGAGTAGTGATCAGAATTACGTGCTTTCAACTAGAAATTACAACGAATAAAAAAGTAAGTGTGACTAGTTATTTCAGAAAGCAACTTACAGGCTCTCTTGATCATTTCATATATGCAAAGCGCCTACAGATTGAAAAGCAGCCACCTGCGTTCAAAATAAAGAATAATCCAGAACGTCCTCCGCTTGAACTTCAATGTCTCGGTGAACTTTCGAAACCGCTAGACCGAGCAGTCGCTCATTCGAAGTGGACGCTCTCAGGTATGGTTTCAACTGTCCTAGAGAAGAGAACAAGCGCTCAGCTCCCGCGGTTGTTACGCACAGAGTCACTCGGATCTCGAAGAGACGATGGACACTTGGGAATCGTCGAGGTGCGCGAGCTACGGGGGGCGCTTCTCTAGCTATCATCATCATCGTTTGTGACGTCACGGGTAGGAGCGACTGGGACAGACCGCGTAGATCTTGGATCCCTCGGCTCGTCAGCTCGCTTCATATGCGCTGTTGGGGTAACGCGCGGCAAAGCCTGTTTCACGCGTTGTGTTCTTTTGGTGAAGTGATATTTGTAGTAGGACATTTTACCAAAGCTTTAAACCGCATGTGGCATGCGTAACACCAACAAGCCGTTTGTTCTGCCGACGTCTAACTCCTGGTTCGCTCAGTTGGCAGAGCGCTCCACTGGAAATGGGGAGGTCCCTGGATTGATACAAGGACCGGGCCGATTTTTTCGATTGCGCACCAGTCAACTAGCTGTGTTTGGAGATTTGTGTTTGTCCTTTGACCAGTTTGTTCCCCTTCTCCCGGGATTATTATCTTCAGTCGTGTCCGGCCCGCTTGCACATTTGCCTTAGTTGTATTATCGTCATGACCTTAAAATTCAGGCCATTCGCCCTTGTCGGTGTTAGTGTGGTAGCAGTTGATAAAAACCTTTTGCCCTACTGACGTCTAACTCCTCATTAGCTCTGTTGGTAGAGCACTCAGCTTTAAATGGGTAGGTACCGGGTTCAATAGCAGGGGCAAGTCGATTTTTTCGGTCGGGCACCAGTCACCTCGCTGTGATTGGAGATAAATGTTTATCCTTTGTCCCCCAATTGTTCCCTTTCTCCAAGGATTATTTTCGACTGAATTGGAGACTTTGGTCACAAGACGTGAATTTTCTCGCTAAATTTAGGGGATAACTGAATTGGTCCAAAGGTCACGTGACCTCAACATCCCGCAACATTTAGCGGGAAAAGCGGATTGATGTTTTGGCCCCAAGAGTTTAATGTTCCCGCTAAATTTAATGGATGAACTAAGTCGACGTTTTGGTCACGTGGCGTTGATTTCCCCTAGGTGTAAAGGTCACGTGACGCCACTTTCACGCTAAAGTTAGCGGAAAATGCGCGGACGGACGGCACATTGGCTACCATTTTTTTTTGTCCGAGAAGTTTAATTTCTATAGTAGATGACAGCCTGAAAAGCACTGGGCGTGCAATCCCCTTGCATCTTCTTATCGTTCCGCAGCCATTGCGAGTGCAGCATTAGCCGACATGAGCGCCGAAAACGAGTCATGAAGCGAAAGGCGTGATCAGAATAGGCCATGCTCCCTGAACTTCTTATTTAAGGCCAGTTCACGCACTTGCGGTTGCTTACGATCGAGTTCTTTTTTATTTCGTACGACCAGAGTACCCACTTGCACGCTGGCTGCATCTACAAGGTGGCCCTGGAGCTGCATTTTACGAGAGCGAATGTTTTTTGTTTCGCAGTACTTGCGAGATTGAACGTACCTACTATCTGTGAGAAAGAATGGCTTATAACGCTATCAAAAATACTTACGAGGCAAAAAAAAAACAACAACAGAAAAAAGGATGCGTTAAAAGATAAGGAACACTCGGAAATGTTAGCGAAAAGACTAAGCGCTAAGGCGAGCTGGTGGCAGCTAATCCTGTCGTTTAACGCGTGAGTCTGTGGTGCACACACACACAAAAAAAAAAACTTTTAGTCGAAGGAACAGACACAGAAGGAAGGGAGTCGAAGGACCAGACACAGACACAGAAGTTGAGTTTCAGACGTTCCCTTCTGTGTCTGCTTGTTCGAATAAAAGATTTTGTTTTCTTTTTTTGCTCCACAGACTCAGGTGTTAAACGACATGACTCTGAAAACTCACGCGTTCCACGTCTACCCGAAAGACGACGCCAATATGTTGTCTCGTTGGACGAGATCACAACAGGTTTTAAGACGCTCGGTCCCAGGCAGTCGCAAGTCTGAATCAGCATTTACAACTCTCGGTAATCAGAGTTCATTCTAATGATGTTGCTTGCCCTGGCGGTTTGCTTCGTTTATAATTTCAGTACAGCAGCCCGAACCAACCCTCGTGTATCCCGCGTTCCTCGAAGGCCGAGGGTTGTCCGGAAGTCGCGTCCTCAAGATCAACGAGGACATTACGCTAAACCTGAAGAAAAGTTCTGTCCTAGCCGACGAGTTTCTAGTGAGGAGCTACGTTGACGGCATTCGCAAGCACACATATGTAAGTATTGTCCACACTCACCGGCAGATTAAGAGATGTAGGGTGTAGCGAACCTTGGTAATGTAATTATTGCTTAGCAGCCAATAAGGATGACGCACTAGCAGATAAGAGCGGCGAAGATTGAATCACGCCACAACAAGCGTGAACGTGGAAAGCCTCGCCCTGTGGTTTGCATAAGGATCATGGCCAACACCGTGCCATGTCTAGGATGCCTCAGTTTTTTTCCGTTTGGGGCGATGAGGTTCCTTGTATGGTAACCGAGAAAAGAACAACGAAGGGGCGAGTCTTTCAAGTACCCGCCCTCCAGCACGCGCTCTATGCCTTCCCCCGTGCTTTGGCAGCGCGAGTGCGCTCGAGGTGTACCAGACGCCAAAGACTTGTCGAAGGTACGAAGCTTGCGCTGGAGGCGGCACAAGAGAAGCCCGACTGCGCGCCCTCACATGAAAAATAATAAAATAAGACGGAAACAGAATGCTTCCGTAGAATAATCATGGCCTAGAGCTCTCACTGGATACGCTCTTTCACGCGATTTAGAAAAAAAAGAGGCTTTTGGAGCAGAGAGATCAGGTTGTCGTGACCCTAAGCCAAACACCCATGAAGGCACCCTAGTCAAGCCCCTTGCAGAACACGACTGTTTGTATTGAGAGCGCTGCGTAACCCGGCACCGCTAGAGGCGTTGATCCAACGTTCCCGTGTTTAGTATCCCAATACTGGAACCTTGGACATTATCTATAACAGGAGTCTTTTTAACAATATTTCATTTAATATTTAGATGAATGGGTCTTATCTAGAAGAGGACCTGTTCCATGACGAGGATGCAATGGCATCCGTCACCATATCGGATGAGGAAGGGCTACAAGTGGTAAGGTGATTTGTGTCTTCTTAGCTGTAAATGTACATTCATAGCACTCTTTATTTGCTACATACAGCTTCTACTAAGCACTTCTTCACGAATACCAATAGAACAGTTAAAGAAAACGGCAAGCATATTGTAAAAATAACACAGTAAAAAAAAGTTGTTTCAATTTGAAATGAAAGAATTAGGATTCAAACGTATTAAGGGACAAGCACAAGCAAAATGTGTATTTTTAAAGTATACAGTAGTCATATTGCTGCGCGACGTGTTAACCCGCAAAAATATGTTTAACCCCACCTTTTGGAGCGATAGTTATGAATAAGATTGATATCGAATGGGCCATTCATGACTACAATGAGAAACGCATAAAATCTCATCTTCAAACGCATTCAATATCTTTCTAAAGCAGAAAGCACACAAATTTCGCCCCTTAAACTTTATGTTGCCTCTCTTCCTTCTGAAATTTTAAACAACTAATAGTGCTAAATTAATATCTGTCATCGGCTGGATATCAATGATTATTCCCCGCATAAGTGCTCAAAGAATTTATTTAATAGGAAAACATGTTGATACCAATTTCTTCCCGAAAATGGCATGTTTATGTAGTTTCAAATAATATTTTGCACAATAAATTGATAAAGCGTTAACGTGGATTTTTTATTTCCTTTATTGAAGAATCTTGAATGAAATTTGTGCATGGTCGTATTTTGTTTCAGGAAGGAATGATCGGAAACAAGTTAAGAATAGTGCCGGCGCTTGAGCAGGAACGGTCATCTGATGGCCGCGTTGCCCATTGGCTACATGAGATTCCCGACTCACACGAAGGTCTTCACAATGACTATGGTGTGTACCTTAGGATGTCATGACCCAAAACAACTATAGTGCGAATTTATCTAGACGTGAATAAACGTTATGCAACTCACCAAAACAAGAGCGAAACGTTTAAGATTCCAGCGGCGTTTTGTGAAGCTTTCTCGCCGAGTCAAACATTGAAGGTTACAAGATCAACTCATATCGCCAAAATTTAACAAGACAGATATACTCCATACTTTTCCAAACTCCCTAATGCCATCACCAGCCCGTCGCAGCACCTTTGGTCAAAACGTCCGGGGCGCGTCCATACAACAATAGAACAGAGAGCGGCCGCTGCGTGCAAGAAAGGTGGCGCTTTAAATCTCTGGGGACGAACACCAGACGGATACGGGGATTCAGTTCACACTATATTTGTCGTCAATAGAAGTCGGCAAACAGGCGCCATCTTGAGTCACCGAGGGCTTAATGAACACCGGGCGTGGCTTACTAGCTTTACGCTCTTTGATTCGTGGTTTGTTTTTCGGCTTTGATGCAGCCCGCGCTAATGTAAAAGCAGAAAAAAAACTGTTTTTTGTTCAGTTTATACGAATTGCAATACCAGAACCACACATCTGTGCTTTGAGAAATTACCTGGTGCAGCTTACCGTATCTACAAAAAATGTGTTTAAGCAGTATGAGCTTCATAATGTTTGAGGTTTTAAAACTGGCAAAACGAAATTGTAATGGTACTGTTTCTGCTTGTAAATTAAGATTTCACTTGGCTTCTAGTGGTATATCAAGAACGCTACCATTTTGTGCATTGTGAAAAAATTGCAGCTTGGCCTTAGAAAAAAAACAATATCCCGTTTGAAATCGCTTGATCCTTGTTTCTGCTTTACTAATGCGAAAACATTTAACTGTCTCAGGGAGCGAGCCGACGTCATCAACTTTGAAACCACGCAAAACAACACTTTAATTAAACAACGCGTAAAGCTAGTCAACGGCACCTTTTGCACTTCGGTCCCATTGGCTGGCACGCGTCGACGAGGCTCCCATTGGCCGCTGCGCGTTAGTTTGTGTGGTGTCATCCTGACAGTGTTATCACACTGTGGTGTTATCATTGATCACCGCGTTCGCTCGCCTCCTATCGGTTGCACGGCGCGTGGCAATATATAAGGCGCATGTAATCAACCAAGGGGTTTGTTCTGCTGGGAACTACGATGCGGTCTGTTCCTTCCTCGCGCCGCAATGCACACAACAGTTTGAACGGTCGCTCACCCGATGGCGCTCCCTGTCCGCGAGGCAGCGGCTCCACTGTTTCATGCCCAAGGTCAGCGCGTTGTGCGCCGCAGATTAAAGAAGGGAGCGAAGAGGCGGCGTGAGTGCTTTCGCATTCACAATTTATAAGTGGTGCTTAGGTGTACCCTGAGCCTTTTAAAACATGCTAATGAAGGTTTCATTAATATTAACAAGAATAATTGTAAAAATTTGACACTTTATTTAGATTAAATTAGATCAATATTTAGAACTGGATTATTGACATGCTTTTGTGTTCCGGTTTTTGATTCCTTATAAGTGTGAACAAAACAAAAAGATTCCACCGACGCGTTGCGATTGTTGCGTGAGTAATTAAGAAAGTTTTAACTTGATTGTTTCAGTGATGCCCGAGAGATCCTACCAAAACGTTACAGAGCGTGCGGGGAAATTTGGTAATTTTTTTATCTATCCCACAGCGTAAAAAACTCGCGAAAAATATGGAGTTGAGCAGCATAATAGTGTAAGGGAAATAATTGTAGTCGTTATATTGAATACTAATGCAGAAGTGCTGCTGAACGACACCCTAAATCTATTCATTATGGCCTCAACCTGAGAAAAAGAAAAACGTAGTTTTTTTTATTATCTTCCAATTTTAGTGTGATTTTACCTTTCATGAAATATTTAATGTTGACATATATACCTGTCTGACAATATGGCAGACCGAAATAGTTAACAAGCAATTGCGGTACCCTGTTAGCCGGTAAGCAGGCAGTGCGTTGGATGCTATACGTGCTCCATTGCCAATAAATCGCGACTCTTTTATCGTCTGACCACGCTCTTTGTGTGCAGCTATGAGCAAAGGGCATGATCACGTGGCGCTAGGCCCGAAGTTGGCTGGTCCAATTCGCACCCAGATTCCACCGCCCTGTCCGATGGATAAGTGGCAAACGGAGCACACAAAGTGTGGGTTACAATAGTTGATCGAATCGAATGTTTGTGCCCTCGTATATGATGCTTATATTTATATGCATAAGTTGGAAGAAGAAAATAGATGGGCGCCATGGAGAATTTGGCAGCCTTGAAATGGCGACGGCTATTTCAAGGCTGCCGAATTCCCCATAGCAACAAAATTGGATATTCATTTGCGTATATCTGCATAAGAATGATTAAAACGAACTCGATTGCTTTTGCCAGATGTCTACAAGGTCGAAAAAATCTATCCAGAATTATTTGTAATAGTTGACTCAGTATTTCGCCATAAATTCAAGACAGAGAAGGAAATGCTCAAATATCTATGGCGCACATTCAATGCGGTAAGTAAGAATTAATATTGCGTACGCTTTCTTTAAAGCAGAGTACACGGTTCATACTAAACATCTACCCGAAAACCTCCGTAGACGCGAATATCTTAACAGCACCTAATTTTCTTCCAACGGAGCAGAAATCACACATGACACTACGCACGATTTCAAGAGGTGAAAGTAAATTTGCGAGAATTGAAAGTAATTATAGTCAGATATGCACGATTCAAGAAGTTTATTTTTATGAATGGAAACTCAAATGCTATGTAAGAATCACGACATTTTGACTAACGCACTGCGAGGTCTACGCCGAAAGATTGTGCGCCGATGTGCTTGAGAGGCAGATTCAGCTGGTTGTAGATGAGAGCAAGCTTGGTGTTCTTTAAAGCGACCAGAATTATTTTAAAACAACAAGTCGCAGTAAGCCTTATCAGGCCCGAGACTAATTTGAGGGCCATAGAGGCCTCTAGAAAAGACGCGACATTGCTAATTACACAGACAATTAACATGAAGCTTAGAACCTCTTACATTTTCAATTTTTGTGGCATAATACTGTTAGAAAAACCGACGCTCGACATCCCTAAGGCCGAGACACATGGACGGCAGAATCGTCCGATCCGACGTCCGATCCGACAGTCCGAACGCCGCTCCAAATTGCCGCACTCGACAGTTTGAGACACATGCTTCCGACCTTGCATGCGACACAACAATCCGTTCGGCTCCGCCCAGGCCCCAGGAGATCCGAGCGCTCCAGCGAAGGTCCGCGTTCTTTTACAGATCTATGGTCCCAGATTGACAGTTCAGCTCGCACGAGTGAAATTACGAGCTCGTTCTCGCTGGCGCGTGCAATCTTTGCTGGGGCCATCTTTCTCGAATGGGTCAGCGGGATTCAAGCGCCCGGCTTCCCCTCGTCCGTCCTGTTATCCTGTTCGTCCCGGCAGACCCCGTACGTCATCATGACGTTCGCGCTAGCTGTGCTCTCATTGGCTGGACGCATCCGACAATCCGTCCGCCGTGCAAAACTATCTGGCATGCTGGACGCACGCCGGATCGCCGATCCGACGTCTGAAGCGACCAAATGTTTCGGGCCAGGCTGCCGGATCGGACGTCGGATGGGATGGATTTTCGCTGATGTGTCTCGCGCTTTATAGTCTAGTCGTAGAAGTGAACATTTGATTGAATCATTCGCTGTAGGTGCTACCGGGAGAGAAATGTCCTTTTGTTAATGGCTTCAGACGAGAACAGTGCCAGCGAAGGGCGCCCTTGACTTCAATTCCTCCGGATCTCGCTTGAGTTGCACTGCTGACGTGACCTGCTGCGGTGTGGCTTGAGTTGTGAAGCAAATGTTGTGTGGAGGGATCGACGTGACGAGCACTCTTCGCTGGATCAGTTCTCCAAGTACATTAGGCTCCAAGAACTAAACATTTAAGAACGTTGTCATATATTATTATATAATATAGTACTCTCTATTTTCGGGTTCCCTAAAACGTGACATAACTCAGAAAATATCAAATAAAATCAGAGCAGAAACAATAAAAACATCAAGAAGCAATAAGAAACTGAAAACTGCGAACACAATTATTTTACTAAACAGAGTAATTAATATACATAAACATGTAGATAAATATATTCACATGCTACGAGGTGACCAACGTTCGTACAAATGACGGCGGTATGTGGAAATGGGTGTATTGATATCAAGGTAGGAAGACTCAGTACTGTTGCTTTCTGTCTGTAATCGAGGAAGTCATAGAGCATGGTGAAAGAGTATAAAAGCAGGCAAACTGTCTCGTAGCGCGGCTTGGAATATGAAATTTTACTTTACTAACAATCCACGAAGAACCAGTGACACTATTCCTAATCTTATGCAGGAATACCAAATCACGGACAGTCCTTCTGTGAGATAAAGGCTTCAACAAAAATTAAGTTAATACGCATTCCTATTTATAATAGGCACGCCCAATGCATCTATCATGAACAATTCTGACAAGTCCTTTTTGCGCGTGCTCAATATTCATTGCCCGAGTTACTGACACAGATTTCCAAATCACAGAGGCACATTCAAGCCTTCAAACAACTAAAGAATTGAAAAGAGGTATCAAGTAAAGGGCATTTAAAGTGATTAGTCAATCGGGATACAGTCCTAAGTTTAGTCCGCCGTCAATGTACGCGCCAAGATTATTTAGAAGTGTTATCTGTTCAATTTGCTTTCCTTCAGTATGCCTTCACTATGTTAAGAATAATTAATGTTCGCGTGACGTCTACACAAAGAAATCACTTTTGTTTTTAAAGGAGTGAGGAATAACTGAGTTTACACCCTTGTGAAATACTAAACACACCATGTTGCGTAATATCGCAATCAAAAGGGAAATAGTAAACAACCTCATGTCATCGGAAAATAAAAACACCTCCATATTTTTAACACAATCAATCGCTGTATCATTTTTGAAAATTGAAAAGAATAGACGATCCAGGATTAATCCCTACGGTACGTCTGACGTTAAAATAAACACTCGATAATAGCTGTAATCGACCCGACCAATATTCGGTCTTAGAGACAGATAACTCTTGAAAGAGGGAAAGAATTCCTTACAGGCACCGTAGAGATATAATTTGCGGACAGGCAAGACGCGACTCACTTTGTGAAGGGTTTTTGAGAGATCAAAAATATTTGTATCTACTTGCTTTCTATTTACAAGAAACGACAGACAGTGATTTAAAAAATTACGGGAATCGGACTCTATACGCAGGCATGCCACCTAAAGAGAATCATGACGTGAGGACGATAAATTTAGGCCAAATTAAAAGAGCATCCTGCTATGCACAACAATATCAAAAACCGCAGAAAGGCGAGCTATTCCTTTCACATACTAAATACGACAACTGCCCACGAAATTGCCATGTACGTATATCATGAAATTGAGCTTACGGTTTATTTTCGTTGACTCGATCGTAGTTCAGTTGCCTCATTGAATCAATGCAAAAGCCTGACCGAGAGTGGGTTCCAGCACCATTTATTTTGAAGAATCAGACCGCTGCTGTTTTATCTACGACTGGCACAATCTTACAATAATTTTGTTGAAGGGTTTGTTCAAGTTCTTAGACAGATGAATTTATAAAAGTTCTGCCCCCACTGGGAAACATTCTTTCAGTTGTCTCCAAAACAAATACCCTGCCCCTCATGATATGGGACATCGAAGTCCCTCTCCGCAATGAGGAAGTTCAACCCCACATTTCCTGGTTCAGTATCACGGGGGTGTGCGGCACGCATCATGTCTCGGAAGGTTGAGGATATCGATAAAATACATTAGTAATTGATTTTGATTGCTCTTTTTTAATCAGCGAAGGGTATGAACTCATCGGTGAACCAAAACACGAGCGGGTGGCTAATCCCGCGAGTGAACCGAAGGAAAGAAAACTGCGCAGAGACGCACTTGGACGAACAACGGCCCTCCGACCAGTTTAAACCACGTGTTCGGTGCGGGACGGGTGTTCTCACTGATCTGGTGGTTCGGCTGGCTCCACGCCATGTCCATGCTTTTCGGCTTCGCTAAGTTCGCTCAGTCCACTGATCTCTATAGTAGTAGGCTGGATCGCGGACCGCGGCCTCGACAGCTGGGGTTGCCACCGGCGGTCCATTGATTGACACCGCTAAATGCATGGAACTCTATGGGAAAAACGAGAAAAAGTACCGGTTCCCCCGTTTTTAAGCTGTTGTCGGCACTGAAACGTTTTGACCACTTTTAGGGAAGCCTGTCAAATAGCAGGTGTACAAACATTAAAGCTGACAGCCCTAACAGCTCTAATAAATAAATGTTTTGTGGTCGAGAGTGACTCCGCTGGGCGAGAAATGCGGTGCAGCTCAATGAGGTGAGAGTTACCTGGAGCTACCGCGGAGTCGGTAGCGGTTTCGACAAGTTGGGTTTAGCAGACGACAAGCTCGAAGGCTTTGCTACGCGGAATTCGCTCACTCCCGGAAAGCCGCTGTCAATATGGAACTTTATCGACATTCATCAACTTCTGGGCTTCCCCGAGGACAGTCTTATTAACGGCAAGTTCTTTCGTTTATTTGACTACGAGAGCACGTTTGCTAGCTCAGCCGTAGGGGTTCCGACACGTTTGAGTTTCTTTAATTGGCATTCGAACGCTCTACAAATACCGATTTGACCTCCAAACACCCGATACAATGATAGCATCACCTCATAATATACTCGCCTTCAAGCACAGCATACAAGCTTCAATATTCCTACGTTCGTGTGTTTCTGCCATAGACTTGCGTGTGTTGCCTGGTGTCAAGCGATGGCCGCCGGTGGTGCCGCCGGCGGGCTCGCGATCCGCGATCCAGACTATTACAATAGATATGAGCGGCTCAGTCGGCTCCACCAACACTATGCAAAAGCTACCGGCTGAGAGCGAAATATTAGAACCTACCGTGAACCGTACGTTTCCGGCGGGACTTCCGGACCGAACTTTTTTTCTTTTATGACCAGGCATCAACTGAATCAGGTAATGCCATCTCCCTGATGTGGACGTGTATTCTGCCTCGTCTGGACTAATCGAAGACTCCACTTTCTGCTTAATCTTAATTTAACGCACCCTTACCTGATAAGCGCCTCTTCGTGGTAGTGAATGCTGAGAGACTATACTGACGTCTTATTGCTGCCTTAAAAAAAATCACAAAATCTCAACAACACTTGAAACTCACGCCTCTATAGGCAACCTGCAATGCTATTTGGTCTGTCGCTATCGAGCGACTGAAGCAAGAAACATTGGGCACGCATTGAATTGGCGGCTGCATTGTTCAAACGTGACCTATTAATCTGGTGGCTACGCTTCGCCTAGTGTCTGAAGCAAGAAATACTGGGTAGGCCAGGAAGCCGTGATCGCATAACATAACAGTACGGCGGAAGCTACGACCCTGGCGGGCCAATGCGAACGTGACTATGTATTATCGGAGTGCGCTTTTACGGCGAAGAAGTATCAGACGTTTCGCTTCGTCATGCTCCAATATGTGTGCGTTGCGTCCGTATACGTAATGCCTTTCGAAGACTTTGGCACGCAATGTTCTGCGTATCGTTCATTCTTTGCCAAGTTACAAAGAGACAGGGTATAACCGTGGGCTCTCACTCTGCTCGCGCCGCCTGGCTATTGCCGGCTGGATATACTCGGCTGAGAGCCTGATCAACACAACCAATCATGTTGGCGCTTTTTCCGTCGTGGCTTGTCCTTCAGAGTTCTTAGCGGTCAATTCTGCATCTCACTGACTTCGAAGCGATGACAAGATGCTCTGGGCTCATCAAGCCCAGGTTTTTTTTTTTTTTTTTTTTTTTAAGATGACAGCGCCTTGAGGGGCACAAAATCTTGAGATAGTGTGTATCCATGAGTCGTAAATTTATCGCTAAATTTTGCCGGAGGACATGGTTTGCTGTATAATTTTTCTTCAATTATATTTACTCATTAATAGTAGCGAGAAGTGTTTCCCCATTAGCCTGAATGAATGTTTAGTGACCCAAAGAATCAGACGAGGAGCGCGAGAGGCGAGCATCAAGAGCGTGTCGTAGCTTACGCATCGGCGAGCGGTTCGTATAATACCATACCGTTATTATAATAAACAATAGAGGCTTAGGTGGCGCTAGTGTGCTGTTGCACATTGAAGCAGAAAGCAACCAGTCTAAACGTCTTCCGGTAATGCATTCCTATGGGAAAATGCATATGCGTTATCTTTTCGCGCTCGATCTTAAGAGAACATATCGCTTAGTGTTGTGACAGAATAAAAAGTATGGAACGTTTCACGATCGGATGTGAAAAAATATATGTTAGTTGGAACATTTTTCTTTGGGATTCATGGCGTTGAACACTGAGCTAAAATACACATACGTGTTGACGTTGCAGGGTGCTATTATAGGGAGCGTATTTACGCGTACAGTCAATCCGATGAAGCAAACAGAGTGAATCAGCTTGAAAAGACGCCAAAAGGATGCTAATATATGCCACATCAAACAATCAAAATAGACGTCAAGACGAAGCATAGAGTTATTAAACGAAGAACACGTGCTGAATTTGTAACAAACTGTGCGTTAGTAACAAACTGCGTTTCCGTCACCTCAATGTTATTACAGTTTGAGTAAACCTTACGCAGTTTTTAATTGCTCGTTTTGCTTGAATTGATAGCTTGTATTGACATATAATGCTGTAGAGCATAGACCTGGGCGTCAATGTTTGCTAACTTAAACATCGCTCAGTAATAAAAAAAACAACCATTAACTAAATACACTTTTATAATGTGAATAGAGCTACATAGTTCCCTTTTCGAGTAAAGAAACTACGCTGATTTTTATCATTCCTTGGCAAAGAGAAAAATGTCACGTACGTTTTTCCATACGTATAGACAAAAAGGCTGAAAAGTAGATTGTTTGCTATCTGCTTCAAACCGGAAGTTCTATAGAGACTAGCGCCAGCTGAGCCCCTAGCGTTTGTTGTAACAACTATATGAATAACACCAAAACTATTCAATTTTCCCACCGAATACAGCGGGAAGTTTCTTTCCTCTAAATATGAAGGAAATACTGAACTGGTGTTTAAGTGGTATATAATTCTACTTTGGAACGAATTGGCTCCGAAATGACTCCTGGGGCAAACCCATCGCGCCGAGCTGAAGAGACGTCTATCGAGGTACAAAAAATTTCGAATATTACCATATTACATTTTTTTTGCTATTGCCTTTGATAAGGCGAATTTTTAAATTCTTGTTTATACTTATTTGTGATTATATTGTCTGAAAAAACTCACCGCGATAAGAGAAAAATATGCAGACTAAAATAATGTGGAATAATACATATTAGCTGATTTTGATTAGACTTTTTTTTTTTTTTATGCACTCGAGATATATTTTGATCAAAGAATTTGGTGGGAAAAGAGTCGTTTGGAGATATTTATGTTTTGAATTAAGTTGGGAATACTATTCTTATGGTAAACTGTACTTTAATGACGCAAATATATTATTTACTATGAATAGAACACTGCAAATGTTTATCGACGTTGCTCGAACTACTTTGAGATTCGAATGGACACTGCTGCCAACGGCACCCCTGGCTTTTCATGGATCAGGGCATAGCCTCCTCTATACTCACAAAGCCTGGGAATTCGACGACGGGGCCATAGAGTTCCCGGTCGCAGATTTGGAGCTCGAGGATCTGCTATCGCAGAACATCAAAGAGCCATTTCTCGGGGAACCTGGACGTCAGCGTACAGCTTCTGCATCGGCGAGGACACGAAACACACTTGTTCGCTCAGGAAGAGTGTGTTTCAGGGTCTCGCCGCAACGGGGCGCCAGTCACGTGGCTCTCCTATCATCCATTGTCTGCCGCTCCACCTTTTCCAGTTCGGCAGCCGCTTCTAGTGGCGATCTGCAAGGCTTTGTCAGTTTAGAGGAGGATATGATCAGGGGTACACGCACGAACGGATACTCGGTTTATTTAATAGACTCGCGCTGACGCGCAATCGCGCAATCTACGACGCATGAAATGCATATAGTGCTATGAGAACGCATCGCAGGTTGTTACACACGCCTGAGAAAAGTAGAAATGTTTGCCGCCGATAGTATTAAACGATTATGTTTTATTAGTTTTACTCAACAGTTAACATCACATTCAATTAAATTTATATTTACATTAAATAGCTAGTTTTTAACATAAGCCCGAATATCTTAATTTCAGGTGAACTTAAGATACCTGAGCATTGACCATCCGAAAGTGCAGTTTAAATTTAGGGGACTAGAGATACTTACGGTAAGTATTTCTGCTTACGTTAGCACGGAGAAACGTGACCGAATCATTAAATTCTGCTTGAACTTGTAAAAAAAATTAGTCCTTGCAAATTTATACAGGGAGTTTTTTTCAGGCTTTACAAATTTGTATTAAAGATTTCCTAAAACTTAAACTTACGTGGTTTATGCAGGTGAGTTAGACGGCCAGGGAAACATCATATAGGGGGATAATGGTTACGATAATTCAATTAATTACCTAAAATTTGCCAATAAGCGTTTTAACTATTGAAGAGAATAATATGGTTCCAATCAGAAACTTGCTGAGCGTCAACAAAAACCACTTCATATGTAATATTTAGAAAATCTTGGGGCGCGTGGGAAACGCGGTATTTCGCTGAAGTTAGTAGTGAGTAGTCACGCTCGTGCAACAGGCAGAAGGTTGTTAGTGAAGCGAAAAAAGAGAGAGTGCTGGTTTTAAGTACCTCGTCATCCCTGTTTTCGCATTGCAAGAGTTATGCCCGTTGCGCTTGTGAAAACTTTGGCGTAATGCCGCACTTTCCAGGTCCCCCAAATATTCTAAGAATGTACTTACATAGTCGTTTTCGCTGACGCTCATCAACGGTTTGATTGCAACCGTAGGTTTATTTTCACTACTCAAAAAAAAAAGTCATGAAAAAATTTTAGTTAATTACCCTACTTATCGTGACGCTTATTCGCATATTATGCCCCTTTGGCTATGTAAGCCACCTGAACACACGGCATTTGTGTAGCTTTCTGGACTTTTTAAAAACAATTATGTAATTAAACAACACCCAGTATATCCGTCTCAAAACGACTACATTGTTTCACCAATATATTTTAGAGCGTGCTGTTTCTAAGCTCCCATTTTAACTCGGTTAACGCCAGAAATTCAGATTAAAAGTTTTTTTTTTTTTATAAAAAAGGTAAGCACTCAAAAGGGCAATTTCACATATATTTTGAGGTTTAGCTACTAAACGTTAACTTTTCTAGAGTGGAACTAACCTCCCTTGTGCTACTGCGATGAAGCAATACAAATTGACGTAAGAATGATTTCTACAACTTCGCCTCCCTCTAATAGTTATCTAGGCATAACGAAATTTAGCGTTTCTATCACCCGGAAATGGTAAAGTACTTCTCACAAATATTTAATACTTGCCATTCCTAACACTATACGTTACGCTGCTATAATTATTTTAATTTATTTATTAGCCTTAAATGTATCTATTGATACACAACATAGGGAGGAAAGCTAGTAAGGGGAAATACTGGTAATGCATTCATACATGTATAAACAATATAAGAAATGTGAGAAGCGAACTCTTTAAAATTACATACGCCGACGATCACACAAAAATGGTACACTAGAAAAAAAAAAAACTAGATACAGTTTACGTAACACAGTTCAGGCATAAATTAATGTAAGTAGAAAAATATATGGTTTGAATAAAATGGCGTTTTGGAGAAAGAAATGATTAAATCATTAGTTTACAAGCCCGTTTAATAGACTCCAAATTTGATATAGGGACAACATATTTGAAGTATTTATGTATTTTATTTATTGTAATATTTTATGAATAATGCGAGTGGAGAATGTAGGAACTAGCACGAATATGTGATCTAACCTTCCCGACCTACCAAGACCGAGTGGTGAAGTTTGGAAGATTTGTTTTTATATAATAATTAAAGCACTCGTAATACTTTTTTCCACAACGTGGCGCAGCGGGAAAAAGAAAGATTCTTGAAAATCAAGACTAACGTGCACAACGGAATAGATGGAGTACAGTCAGTGTACAACCTGAAGGATTTCGTCAATAAAAACAAGAAGGACTACGGTGTCTATGACATAGTCTACATGGTCACTGGGTAATCACTTTATAAACTTGGTATCTTTCGGACTGATTAGTTGTCGCTTGATGAGTTGGAGCATTACGCACTGTGTTAATCAAGTGCTCATTCATAAATTTTATTTTATAAAAAGCAGCATATGCTTAAAAACAAATGAAGCTAAGCTTTTAAAAGTGCTTTGCAAGGTAACCAGGATAATTTATCGCAGTTGCAGTGCAATAATGACTAAATGGTCGACATGTTTTTTTTTTTTAATTTAACGGCGGTATTTGCTGTTGTGAACTCATTCCAAAATATTCCTTAGCTGTCGACGCTATCTGCGACAAATAGGAGAAATAGGACGTGTCGGATTGAAAATATATTTCATAAATATATTTGTAAAAAAATTCACACCCTCTTTAAATTCAGGGAAAATAACTTGAAATTGCATGTCTGATGAGCCCATTTTTTATTAGCTCTAATAGTGAAATATTTATGAAGGTCAAGGCACATTTAATTTTCATAAACAATAAAGACGTTCAGTTATTATTAAACTGGGCGCCAATCAAGAACAAAAATGCCAGAGAGCCTGACTCCAAACGAACCATCGAAGGGATTAAGCAAAATAACCGGACGAGATACTGAGGCAGAATACCGGAACTTCGCATGTCACCGAAGGCTGCGAAACACTCGAGACAGGTGTGAGCGGTACAAGGAATACTGCTGGGTACATGGCCGAGAAAGAACGCTTCGCCGTATTTCTAGAAGATTCATTTTTACCCTTATCCTGTGTGTAATAGATAAGAGGTCCATATGAACTAGCCAAGTCAGTCTTCCGAGTCGTCGGTGGTCGAACATTCTAGACCGAGTGTTCTAGTTACCGGGTAGAGTAGACAAAGTTCCCAGTATGACCTTGCCGATCCACTCTCGCACTCTCGCGCTAACCAGCTGCCACGCGACACCTCGCACGCCGCTCGCTGCTGCCACCATCGACTTTCGCTCCTGCTTTCTTGACGCTCGTTCTTTCTCTTGTTGCCGGCACAAGTTCGCCGATAAAGCCTCTAGTTTCAGTGTTACGTTTGTCCATCTTTTTCTCATTCGCGACAACAATGGCAAGATAACTGTCATAGCTGTAGTCTGTGCACCATCGGAATTGAGCCCTAATTTCTAATTTTAGAAATGTAAAGGGTTGGACCTGTGAGGATGTTTAAAATATGGTGTCCAAAGTATTTTTGTGGTCGTCTTACCTATTTGAGGTAAACTTAAAAATATGAAAGAATTACTCTGCAGAAGCAGTTTCTATTCTCGGAAAACACACAAATTGAGATTCATGCGAACCCTGGGAGGCTACTATCTTTTAAGCCTTCCAGAAGAGCTTTACATAAGAAAAATGTCGAGGAATATGTCTGATATAATCTCACCAAGAATGACCTGTTTTTCATTTATTACCACTCTTCCTAAAAGAACCCCGTGCTTCAGGTGTTTGTAATATGTACTATAGATATACGGAACGCATACGAGAACGAAACCGGCATGCATAAACAAATCCATGTTCGTGAATTAAAATTCAGGGTACTTGGTTACAGCGCAACTCAGAGAATAACCACAACAATATCAGTAGCAATTAAGAAATCTCAAGTGTGCTTGAACCACTAACATTTTATTGGCGTGTTTTTTTTATGGCACATGCAACATCAAGGAGGGACATGTATGTACAAGAAGACAATGGCAATATGGGTAAGTCGCTCGCGTCATATACGGTAATTACAACTAAAACATGCAATCTATAATGCATGAAGCCAGTACAAAAAGGAAACTATACAATGACGATTCAAGACTTGAATTGAGGTTCATTGCATTCATTCACCTTTTGGGTGCCCGATCAGGAAGTGTAATTCATCTCTACACTTCCAGGGTTCGCGTTTGTTGCAGCAGTGTGTGGAGAGAGAAAAGTGGGTTTAGGTGAAGACCAGGCCTACACTTATATAGGAGTGCGTGTCATGACTCATGAACTTGGACACGTGTGAGTATATTAAATATTTTATAAACCGTTTCTAGATAGAGATAATATTTGCTGTATGTTTAGACAGTGTACATGGCTGAAGGACAGCTTTGTAGACATACGCTAAATACACCTGAATGCCAAAATTATCCTGGTGCATATTATGTTGGAGTATTTCATCCAATGTAAAAATCAAACTCAGGCAAAGATGTGACTGTCGTCGAGCACCAAAGGATCACTAATTACAACTACTTCTCAATAAAAAAAAATATATATATATAAATATATATATATATATATATATATATATATATATATATATATATATATATATATATATATATATATATATATATATATAGATATAAACAGACATAATAATCGAATCAACCGCGTTCCCCACACTGCTAGCTTTGTGCCTGCTATATGTGTGGCAACTCTGGTGCCCCCTCTAGTTTCCCACGAGCTTAAGTAGTTCTAAATGGACTTACATAGTTGCTTTCGATTATGCTCAGAATGTTTCTAATTGAAACTATGTGATAATGTTTACTAATTTAAATGAATTAAGTACGTTTAGTTAATCATCCGCCTTATCGCAAAAGATTAGTCATCCACATAATGTCCACCTGGCCGTAAAACTCGCCCGCACAAACGTATATGTACCTCTTTTACAGAATGTTTTGTAAAAATCTCTTCGAATTAAAATGAAACACCCGGTATCTATCTCTCTCTCTCTCTCTCTATATATATATATGTACATATATATATATATATATGTATATATATGAGGCAGAGTAGTTTGAGAACAATGGACTGGGTAAATGTAGTAAGTCAAAGATACGTACCAACGAAGTTGCTAAGATAAAATAAAGGATATAGCTACTTGTGTTTCGGAGGAAATGCCAGAACTACATTTTAATAATGCTTGCTGGCTGTTACTCAGATGAGGATATTACATCCAGTCAAGTACACTTGTAACAAATAGTGCACGCCTTATAAATTTAACGCAATACTAATAATTTTACTCCTTCACGCTTCACAGAATGGGATGTCCTCACGACGGCGATCCCGGACCCCCCGAACTTGGAGGTCCCGGATCTAGAGACTGCCCTTTTGGCGACGGATACCTCATGAGCTACAACACGGACAATCTCAACCAATTCAGATTCTCCAAGTGCTGTAACTACTTGATGAGCCTCATGTCCTGGTATGATGGCTATACGGCCAAGTCACACCTGTTTCTATTCCCTTTGAGGAACCAGTTTATGTTACCCTACAATTAAAGTTGCGGACACTTCAGCCGTATTCAACTAGAAAACGACCGTTTTATTCGCGGACAACATTACGATTTTAGCGTAGTGTTGCCTACAATGTGTGCCTCGAACGTCCGTTGCATTCCAGCTGTCGTGGGCCGATTGAATCAAAAGTAAATGCCTAGGGTTGTTCCTGCTGGTTGTTTTTAATCTTGAACTTTTTTTTTTATTTCAGAGTTGTTGGTGCGCATGTAAAACTTTGATACGCGTCTACTGATGGTCACTGATAGTATAAACAATACCGGGTGTGGAGACTTCAACATCGGATTATCATTTCGCAGTCGATATAAGACGATCAAAGCACCCAAGAACGACTCACGAAACTAGAATCCGCCCCTGTGATTTTTGGAGGTCTCAATGATTTCAAAATGATTCTATTTTTTTTTTCAGAAGATCGTAGTGCTCACTTTGGAAATTGACCGGAAGAAAGGAGCTTAAAAGGCCCAAAGTCTTTTATTTTTTACTTTTAGCTCACCCGTTAAGATTATAAATTCAGATTTTTACATTCACTACTGCCGATTTGCATGCATGTGCGAGAAGGACGTAAGAGTGAAGGATGATGCCATGACACAGATCTCATGCGGTTGGCGTAGCGAAGGACCTCGAGCCTATTTCTGGTTACTGACGATGAACAAACCACGAACCAGGAAGCTTAAAAATAGTTATTCGTTCCCAGTGTTTTTTCAGCCCTCAGTCACGCCGTTTTATAAGCAATCCTTTTTTTTACTTTCTTTTCAAATTATTACAGAAATGCGTAGAAACATCAACAGGGAGCCCATAGATAGTGACAAAATAAACTGTAGGAATAGTTTTTTATACGTCCTGAATATAAAGAGCGCAAATGGCAAGGACAAGTGGTAGAGCGAGACGGGACAACTAATTGAAGTAGTCGTTTGCTCTTTCTACAGCAGAAGTTTAGTTATGCAACAGTATGACGACATTTTTATTCGCTGTAGATGAGAAATTTAGCGAGTGCACTACGACTGCCAGCCTGGGGTATCGTGCATCACGCAGTAGTGATACACGACCGCACGCCGGTACGATGCTCCTCCAGATCGAAACGGGCAGGGGTAAAAGAAAACAAAATATAGTCGTTTGTTAGCGAGAGTGTAGTCTGGCAGAACATGGCGACATTGTTACCCACTGTAGATGAGCAATTTAGCGAGGGCAGCGTGACTGCGAGCACAGGGCCTTTAACTAAGATAGGACAAGCTCTACTATCACTTACGTTTTAATACGCTAGTGGTGAAATACAAAGAGGAGGTGAGGGACGTGACAATGTAATAGAGATAAAGATGTAATACTCATTTAAAACCAACTGTGGTCCATGGAGTTGTCAGAAATCATATAAATTAAATAAAACGCGAAGGCTTCAAAAACTGTTGAGGTATATTATTAAAAGAAAAATTCTGAATGAAAAGAAGCTGAAGTAATTAATTTCTTTGTCAGACACACTGATCTCCAAGAGAAAGTTGTTGGATCATGCTTCTTCGCTTCGGGTAGATCCACCAAATAGGCTGTGCTTCGGTGACTCGAGCCATCTTGGTGTTCGAAATCATTATTGCCAGTTATCTAGAACTTTAACAGGAATCATGAAAAACAGGCTTTCATTTTCCGGAAATGTCGGAGCGGCCCGCAAAAAAAGCGAGACTGTCGCCTGAGTTTCTTGAGGCAGTATATCGAGCCCAGGAAGTCGCATTTTCGACTCGTAACGGTCGCCAGTTACGCCCGTCCTTCACGGAGCAGTAAAATGGCGGCGCGCAGGGGAAAATCTGGGAATGAAATTCAGATGCTCCAAGCGCGGCTAATTTGTCGGCTCTAGGTCCGAGATTTCGACATGGGAAGTTCCAAATCGGCCATCTTGTAGCTGTGTAAAATCTGCAGTGTGAAGGGTTGCCGAGGCTGGGCGGCTGCGCTCCGAAAAACACGTTTTCTGCTCGTTCGCCACCATTCGCCAAAAAGGCTTTTTTTTTTTCTCTCTCTCTCTCTTTTTTTTTAAATGCTTGCGTAAACGGTTGTGACTACCTTCGCGAACCCGGGGGAATTTCAAGGGAAAGTGCGGATCTGCAGATAAAAGGCACAATTTGTCGACGTACCTTCAGCGGCCAAAGTCCTGCGTCTCCAAACCTTCGCACGCTTGGATTCCGATTTAGAATCGGCGCGGTAATGATGTGTTAACCCTTCGGGGAATTTTTACGAGTGTAACGTGCTCTGGAACAGCCTTTTACTATACTGTGACGGCTGTATATATTTGTAACTTGCGGGCCTGGCAGGTCAGAAACATGATTTTTTCAATGGCGACGAAACAGGGGGAGGGTAGGGGGGGGGGGGGGGGGGACGGGGGGGAATGTCATACTTACCTATGGTAAGTGTTCATTTTGTCGTTATAAAAACCACATAACATCCCATAAGTTTTGATCAGCGGTGGACCGACGTAGCCTTCGTTTCTTCTTCTTGAGATGCGGAGAAAAAAGGGAATGAGACAATATTGGGTGTGATTTTCTTGACTGTTAGCAATCGCTGATCAGAGATAGGAACTCGCCAGAACAGCTGGGCAATCAAGAACTCCGTGACCAATTTGTATGCAGCAAAGACATATACGTACGCGCGACACCGTTTCAAAACATTCTTGGACATTTACCAAGAATCTACATGGCGTCGATTCTTGGTAAATGCCCAAGCGTGTGAAAACGCAGAAATGCGTCGTTTCGGCATGCCAAGGAATTGTCTTTGATCAAGCCCCCTAACCGCGAGACTTGCGTTCAACCAGCTGTGCCTTTTTCCTGCTGTGGTGCGCTTTCGTAAACATTTTGACGGGTTCTCAGGATCACCTACGACCGTTTACACAAAGTTCTCAGAATTTTTTTCGGCAAATGACGGTGAGTGAGCGGAGAACGTGCCCTTCAGCACGCATCCGCCTAGCTTTTGCAACGCCTCACCCGGCAGATTTTACTCAAACCCAAGATGGCCGATTCGGAACTTTCGGTGGCAGCACTAGCGCTACAGCGAGCAAGTGGGGATGCGCGATTCAGCAACTTGTCATTATTATTCAGTGGTAAGACAGCCCTAAAGTGAACAAGAAACATTAAGTAGTGAAAAAACGGCGGCATCGCGTGAAAGGCACATCGTTTGAACTTACCATATGACGATAGCTCTGTTTACAGGATCACTGCTTCGACTGGCTCGCTTACGGCAACCACGAGCCGCAAACCTGTGCCAAGCGCACTCGCTTTTTTTAACGGGCATAGCACATACAGCATTAACTCATCGATATTTCGACAGCAGCACCACGCGTGGTTTCCAGCTCCCACGACTACGGCGAGCTTTTAAATCTTGGCTACAGTGAACTTTTTTGGATCAGTTGGCTACAGTGAATTCTTTTTGGATCTCGTGTTGCATAGGCCAACGCGCAAGCACACGCGAGCACGAAATGTGGACAAACGCCTAGTTCCCACACGAGGTGTGAGCACTGCTCGTGCGCGGGAACCAGATCCGCGTGATGTGAAATTTCCGCTAATGCGCCATGCCAATAGCTTCGCCACCGCAGCAGTGTAACGTCAGGACCGTGTGTTGGTGTATGTTCAACAACAACCATGCCTGTTGGATGTATGGGCCTAGGTCCGATAAATTAATTTTACAATCTAATTCGATTCCTTCGAAGCTGATGAAAAGAGAAAAAATGCGAAAAGAATATCTTGGCACATCCCTCTAGCAGTCCTGCGACCACACAGCAGGGACAAGCTTTGAAGCACAAGCGGAATTACTAAAGGAGTCTGGATATCCAATTTTTATTTAGTATGGGATCGTAGAAATCTTGACGATAATCAGCGGAAGTCGAGAAAGAAACGTTGAAAACATTCGCCTGCCAGCTGTTATTCCTTATACCTTCAAAATATCTCGCAACTTGAATTGAGTTGCCACCAAGCTTGAGATCCAAGTGGTACTATCTGCACAGGACAGGCGTAAGGAGCTTTGCCCTAAAATTAACTCCCAGAAAGAGACAGCTGACCGACGCGCGGTACAATCTGTAAACAAGTATGTCAATTGAAAGGTACGTGTTATATATGAAATTTCATTTGCTCGCAAGAGAGTCTATGTGGGTCAAGCTGGCGTGTGTGTTAACATCTGTCTGCGAGGGCTTGCCTTTTAACTGAAGTCGACACGGGCGCGACACCTAGCCATACATGTCAGACACTGCACATGCATCCCGGTATTTAGCCAAAGTCCTCAAGCGAGACCATAACCGGAGCATCAGAAATATTTATGAGGCTCCAACCACAAAAGCTTAAGTGTGCGCATGCACCGTCTTGCTATCTGATAACGTAATTAACTACCTCAACTTTATTTCACGGAGCATTTTCTTGAAGAGTGCTTTAAGATTTTTTTAAGCCTTCATATTCTATTTTTTATATAATTTCAGGAAACATCCTTTTTTGCACTTTGCTTTAAATTAATATGACCTCTTTCTGTATATTTAGTTATCGCATCACTCACCTCCTTGTTTTTCACTATTAATGTATTACAACGTAAAGTGATATAGTACCGCTTGTCCTACCACTTGTTCTTGTCTTTTGCGCTTCTAATGTGTGTGCCTTCGATAGTCCCCAAATTTAGAAAAAAGGTACGGTTGTTCATAATTTATACGACAAACGTATGACATTTGTAACGGACATCATACACCAGTGCTCAATGACGTCCTCAATTTTGTAGGATTAATTGTCAAAATCAGGTGTTCATCTGAAGTGACGGTGAACCTCATTAAAGTAATCACACGAAATATAAAATGTCTTGATTCAAAATAGCTATTATAAACGTTTCTGCTTACAAAATATAATTGACCATAAAGTAATCACTAATAACATCTGCAATTTCGACGCAGTGAACTTCGCAAGTTTATCTTTTGTCTTAAATGTTCTTCCTTGTTCCGCATTTCACGGTTCGCTGTCTGATTAATTCTCAATAAAACACATGCGTCTTTATCAGGTCGCCTCTAGGAAAATGCCTCCACGAGAAAAACGCCAAATCTACACTAGACAAACTGACTGCTAGGTTGCCCGGAGAGGTTGTGTCGAGAACAAATCAATGCAAGATGGGATTTCCAGACTTGTACGACACCTACTTCATGGAGGTATATATATATATATACATATATCTTAAATGGAAGAGCACGAAGTTTGCCACCCTTCTATTAAACTTGTTCTTTTTGTTTATTTTTCAGAATATGGGAGTTAAAAATTGCGAAATGCAGTGTTTTATGCCGAGACGAGTATACGGCTACGACACGCACTTAGGACTTTACGTAACAGATGGCACACCATGCAATGACAAGGGATATGTAAGTGCTCCCGTGCCCCTTTTAGAGCATCAAGGCTGGTTCAGACATTGGCGTATGAGTGGGATTGACTGAATTAGAACTACTTGTAACCGCTTTCGAAAAAAAAAAAAAGACGCACTTGGACACTGGCGAATATACGCGACTGAAAAGAAGAAGGGCTGTTCAATAGATGGCGCTAGTTTCTTCTTTCGTAGCAGCGGTTGCAACCGGTTCAACGCCGTCAGTTACACTCGAACGCGAATGTTCGAACCATTCTTTGTTGTATTATGATCGTAGTACGCGATCGGGCTTTCTAAACTTGGAACCTCTAAGTCGAAGTACAATAGTAACCTAACACATTAGACCTGAAGAAAGCCAATAGCACTGACGCTTAGAACCTTCTGCAAGCCAAGAATGTAGTTTTGAGCTTTTGATAGGACGTACGTAAAAAGGACAATTCATGAATAGGGAAATGGCGGTGCGGTGCGCACTCTTAATAAAGCTTATAAGGATCATCTGTTAATTTGTTTTTTAGTTTCTCAAAAACGCATTTTTTACAAGCTTTCTTATATTACTTCCAGATTATCAAAATCTTTTACAAAAGCGTTAAAGACCATTAACAAACAAAAAATTGTTTTACTTAATTGTTTAACGCTTTGATAAAATATTTTAATTACGTAGAACTTAATAAAAGCCTAGTTAAAATATAAAACTAGTGTCGTAAGACGCATTATTTCATTAGGGGCTAACAAACTGATTGGACTGTTTTAGCGTTTATTCTTTTTGACAGGTCCTTGAAAAACTTTTCACCTTGTATTTTTTGTATTATGAAAATCAATATACTAAGTATTCATTCAGAACTTTCTGTTCAACTAAAACTCCTGGCTTGTACACAAAAATGAATAAGAATTTATCTGGTTTAATTGTCGCTAACACTGGTACAACATCTATTAATGCACAGAAATGGGCAAGATATCTGGAATAATGTATTTAAACACAAATACATCGACAAAATTTATTGAGTTATAAGTTCAGTTAAACGTTTTAGAGAAAGTATTCAAATACAACAGACAAACACAACGACGGTATTATATAATTTTTTACTACTTTTAAAAATTAACGGTGATGACTTGGGCGTGTTGGTGCATACTTGAAAAAGCCGCCTAAATTTAGGGAACTTATGGGGGCGATGTAACCTCAGGGGTACGTTGCGGCACCCCGGAGGTTACATTGACAAACTCCGAGTAAAAAGCACCTGCTGTGGTGAACTTTTTTTTTTTTAAGGAGAGAAAGTTTCGGATCCAGGAAAGAGTTAAATCGTCAATGCGAAGTGAGGAGAGCTTAGATATTGGATGTCAATGCGGCACGTGGTCGAACGCTTTGGAGAATTCTAAGAAAATGGCTTCGGTCTGGGTGTTTAGTTCCCTATTACTATGCATATCGTGCGTGAATTCAAGGAGTTGGTTGTTGCATGAGAATTCCTATGGCTAGCAAATATACATGGCTTGTAAATAAGAAAGTATTTGGCTAGTAACTAAAACAATACAGACTGATATGATACAGAATTCCTGATGAGATATCATAAAACTGGAGGGGTATGGTGCCTTTATTATTTTTCATGGGTGCTGGTAAAGTGTCCTTGGCTTTTTGCTCGTGTACTGATTTAAAAATTTTATATAAGTATTTAGGAGAAACAAATAGAGGTAGAGATAGAAAAAGAATGTAAAAGAAAATAAATGACGGTTGAAGAGAGCTTGGCAAGTATTTGTTCAGAACTTTATAACTGAGCGTGGAAATAAAACTTAACAGTGTGTCGTCCTTTGTTTTTCTTCTAGGTCTGCATCAACGGCGACTGCCGGAAGAAAGAAAAGAAATATTACAACTAAGTTGAAAAAGTATAATCAAAATATATTTGGACGACGAATTTTGATTCTTTACCTGGTGTGATTCACCCATGAAAATAGCATGTTTCAGATATTATAAGAATTTAGAAAATAAAAAAAAATAATTGAAGCGGTACAATTTTTTTTTTTCTGTAATTATTGAAAAATAACTGCTGGTTTTACAACCTATATATATTCAGAAAAAATGGCAATTATATTGTTATAATAAATTAGTTGCGGTTTCTCAACGAACGAAAGGAGAGAAGAATGTCTTTATATCATATAAGGGATCACAGGCTTTGGAGTTGTACCCCTGAGGAGGAAAAAGAATAGGGTTCTGAAGGGTCAGAGGGTTAGGGAAATCCATGTAGATGGGCGAAACCTAGATGAGGTGATGGATTTGCGTCTCCCTGATGTAGTGCATCAGGGACTCGAGTATGGCCTTTCTGTGCTCCTCCAGCGTAGTGACCTTTTATTGGCCTTAATGGCATCTAGGGCTTCTCATCTATGTCACTCCAGGCCTTTGCGGGCCGAGAGGAATTTTCGAAGTGTTGCAGGATACCTATGTTCGACTTTCGAGAAACTAGAAACAGAAGTGACGTAGGGGTAGGAGAAGCAACGGCGCGCTCATTTGAACCGCCCTCCTTGACGCCGTGACGACATGGCAAGATTGGCGTCTGTCACGTTTTCGAGAGACGTCAAGAGCCAACCCCCGGAGAGCGGAAGAAGCTACGCTGTCTCCTGCCGTTTCTACGCTTTCCCGGCCGTACCTACGTGAAACCTAGTCCTTACGCGAGCGCCTGTTTCTCCGGCAACGGGAGGAGCTTTTCCTCTTTTCAGCGGAGCAACGGCAGCCAATCTTGTGTGAGCTCGACAGTCGCGTCCCATCTATTTCAAAATAAACTTATAACCAAAAAGTTCTTCGTACTGCGTGATAATTATCGTAGGTCAACATAAAGTGCTATAAATCACAATTTTAAGTGTCGGGCTAACCTTATTGCGAAGAACGCTCCCAAGCTGCGAGTCTCCGCATCAGCTTTTTCGGAACAAGGCGGACAACTGTGACAAAGAGGCCAAAAACATGTCTGCGGAGTCGTGGACGTAACGTATCGTTGTTGTGACACTACCGTACCTTTCTAATGGTGAATTCCACTCGTAGATCCGGCGCGCTTTTCATAATTCGCGAGGGAGGCAAAATTCCGCTCCGTGAGACACGCTGCGAATCGACGAGCGGAAGGTGAACTCGACTTTTTGGAGCGACCTCTCCCCCGCTCCCCCCTCGGCCGTTCGAAATGGCCGCTGCTCGAACTTGACGAGCCCCACAACGCTTAGCCGACTGATCTTTCCGACGATCAGTGACAACTGTCACTGCTTAGCTGCAGAAATAACACACGGCACAGGGCGGGCCAAAAAATATCCACACCACGGAGCGTCACAAATAACGAGGAAGACGTCCGCATTCGGCACCGTCACATACCTCTCGGCCGCCTCCAAGCGGCGGGGCAAGCACAGCGATAGCCATCGGTGGAGTTCAGATTGCTGGGACGACTTGAATAAACACAGGGGTAACAAACCATCACTGGCACGGTCGTTGCCTGATCTGTTCTTGCTTTATAGCACGAGAAAGCGCCGGCGACATGCAGCTTAAAAAAGTTAACAATCAGTGGTGGCAAAATGAATAAGAGGCCTAATCTTGCGTCTGCCTCCTTCCGACTTTCAGCCGTTCTTTTTCTCGTTCTTCCTCTCACGATCACAGATGTCAGCGTTTCCGATTTGTCACGATCCTGTCCCGGCTTTCAACGCGAGGTAGAGGCGTTCGAGCCGTCACAATCCAGCGTAAACAACCGACGCATCCGAGAAGACCCAGCTCGACCGACTCGACTCCGTCCCTTCGGCGAAGGCGCGGCCGGTCGCTGGCAAAGCCTCGGCGCGCCATGCACCACCGTCGAGGGAAACGAAATGACGTAGCGCGCTCTGTGGCGCTCTCTCAACTTCCGTGTAGATCTCTGAAATCGCGCAGATCAAGTTCGGCGGAGTTGGAGGCGCTCCACTGGGCGGTTGCTGCCAGAGATCTGCGAGCGGAATATGCGCGCTCAAAATGGAGCGCTTTTGGAGCGCTCGAGATCTGCGAGCGGAATTCACCATAAGCTACATCAGCGATATAATTCAAAAACTCGGTAACTATTGGGGCCGCATGTCCAGCTTTTTGAGCCCCGACTTTGCCAAAAGAATGTGGCGAAGCTCCTAAAAGCAAGGAAATCACTCTCCTCCAACGCCGGCGACCGGAGGCTAACTACGTCTCGACGTACAGGAAAATGGCAATAAAAATAAAAGTATACGCCTGCGATCTCACGGCACTTGGTGGGACGGTCTGCTACCTTTCAGGTAACGCAGCCAGTGCAAGTATAACTATTGTACAATCTGTAAGCTGGCTAGCGCTGGAGGGTGAGCTCGCTTGAAATCTAATTCGCGCAAGGCCTCCTTCAAAGGCGAGCAAAAGTTATGACCATGATCCGTTTGCTCTTCGAGGTGCATTAGTGCCTGAAGGAGATACGATAACAACCTAGATAAAAGTGCGCGCGCGGCAGCGCGTTTCACAACTTGTTTTCTTAGAAAGTTTAAGTCGCTGTCACACAGAGAATCCGCCACACAAAAGAGTCTACAGACACTGAGGCCATCCTTGTATGACGTCACATACAACGACTGTCTGCAGGCATGTGTCGATGCATACTTGTGAAGGGCTTCTACCGTGATGACGCGTGTCCGAATACAATTCTGTCTGCCGCACACACTGTCTTTTGGATGATGTACGAGAGGTGTTGCTGCTGCTTTATACGGTTCTATGACCGAGGATGCAACCTCCACGGTTCATCAAGTATGCGTTCGCCGGGATAAAAGGGCGTTCGTCGAAAGACAGTTCGTAACAGGGCAACTCGTAGCAGGGCAATTCTTCACAAAGGTCAATTCATCATAGGGTCATTTGTCACTAGAACAACTTGTCGAATGTTTGAAGACCTTGCTGCCCGAGTACTAGATTTTTTTAGCGTTCCGTCACTTTTGTTATTGAGAGTTTGGTCTACTTCTTTTCGTTTAAGTCCCCCACCCTTCAGTTCCTTCAGCACTGTTGGCTTAGGTAATGGGCGTCTTGAAAATGGGACTTTCAGCGACTCGTTCAGGAATCAGCAGAATGCTATGAAAGGTTTGGTTTCGTGCATCTTTCTTTGAAGTTGCCATGGAAGTCGTCTAGACGGAAAGAGTGGGAGAGATGCGGCTTTGTGATGGATTTTCATACACCGCTATTCACTCGAGGCCACAGCAACGCGGAGAGGATGTACCAACCACAGCGACACAGAGAGAACGTAGCTCGTCCATGTGCGCGACACAGACACAAACTGCACATGCAGAACACACGCAGACTGCGGATCCACGACCGAAATGTTTCACGTAACATTCCACTACTGCCTAGCAATCTGCCATCCATTTATTTCTATTAGTGATTCAGAAAGGTGCCACGATTGTGGTGAACAAGACATGAGTACCGTAATGTATTGGGCAGGCGCCCACTCAAAATTGAGATAATCTCGGAAAAATGGCGTATGGGCGCTTCTTCAGTCATCAATTTTACATATACCGTAAAATCCCGAGGGGTGCTCCACCCCCGAAAAATAGCCCACCCCCTATTTTCGGCTTGATTTGCTATAATTGTTTAAACACCGATAGATAGCCCAATCCTGGTAATGGTAGTGTTAGGATCAATGATGGCCTCGGCATAAATGCGGCTATTTTGTTACGGAGCGATATAAGCGAACATTGCTTACTAGGAAGTACAGTAATTTTTGCTTCGTTGCACCACGCCACCATGACAAGCTTGGAAGGGATATGACTTAAAAATAGCAATTTTTTAAAACTTCTCTTGATTCTAGACTAAAAATTAGACCATTCCATATTTTCAGCCGATTTGCTCTTGGTGTTAGGTGGTTTATCTCTCAGGATTTTACAGTAAATGTGTTGTGCGTATTTTCTCAGGTATTACAAAATTAGGAATAAACAATTAGTGTGGAATGGGGAGATGCACGGTGTTCTACGGTTGTTAGTGTTTATTTGAAATTTGTAAAAGTCAAATTTTTGTGTCAAGAAAAATTCATTAAATCCAGGAAGGTGGCCGCTGACAATTCTACTCACCTGGAAGAGCTATATTCGATAAATATCAGAAATGCCAGAACAAACAGAAAAAAACTGTTAATGGTTTGACGAATTGCCCTACCTCACGAAGAGCCCTGCTACCAGTTGACTTGCGACGAATTATCGTTCGACAAACGGTCCTACAGTCGTGTTCACCACTTATCAAAGCATGGGCCTTATGCGCAAACTATTGGCATTGCGCCTCCCAGAAACTGTTCACGAAAACATTGTTTCTTGGACAGTATCTTATAAAACCTTTGACGGTTGAGTTCCCCCTTTCCCCCCCCCCCCTCCCCCCCCCGCAATAAAATTCGCAGTGGTCAAGTTTTGTTTGGAAAAAAAAGCATAAAGAATGGCTGAATGCACAGGCTGCTTAGGTACAGTGCTTTCAGGGTGTTTAGGTTTAGAAGCACCAAATGAATATATTGAAGGCAAAAAGTTGTCCCCTGGGTTCGATGATTATGAAATTAATGCAAAGGTGCGAGCGAGCTGAACAAAAATCACAACAATAATCCCTGGGGAGTGGGAACAAGGAGGGTAAAGGACAAGCACGAGTCAGCAAACACAGCTGGGTGAGTGATGCGCGACTGAAAAAATCCGCCTGGTTCTGGTATCAAACTCCTGGTTAGCTCAGTCGGTAGAGCACTCCACTTGAAATGGAGAGGTCTCTGTTTGGATACCAGGACCAGGCAGATTTGTTTCAGTCGTGCACCAGTCAGCTAGCTTTATTTTGAGATTTGTGTTTGTCCTTTGTCACCTTTGTTCCCTCTCTCCAGGGATCATTATTGTCTGTCATTCTTCCATTCACTTTTATTTTAGCGCATCCGCTTCCGCAACGTTTCAGCTGCTACAGATCCCTAACCCGAAGTACTTTACACGACTTCCCCGTCGGATGATGAGGTCCCAACCTTTCAATTTATAGCCGACAATTGTTGGAAGTCTGAATCTGAAGCG